ATATTGGTGCTATCAAACATAGAAAAATACAGAGTAAAGATTACACAGCTGCAAATGGAGGTGAAATGTTCTAACATCAATGTACCTCAGATGTGGGAAAGTACATTTAGAAGCAAAAAAAGAAACAAAATTAAATTAATTTCAACATTGCTACACATAGCGTACAAACTGCTGGTCTTTATAAAACTAAAGTTCCTTAATAATTACTGCTTGCGGATAATTGCTAAGACAGCTACTCAGCCGTAACGTCTGCAAAGACTCATAACCTAACTACCAACGAAGCTGGATTTTATTGCTGAGTAATTTATTGCTTCATATTACTGAATTCCTGCTGTTTTTGCAATTGAATGTGATTGTGATAATTTGATCATGAATAACCATTGAAGTATAGAGAGGTACCTTACCAATTTGGGAGGAAGGGGCTGTGTGTTTATGTTTATATGTGCATGTTGACTTGTGCACAAATACGCGCATGTCAACATTTTTTTAATCACTTCATCTTCTCGGGGAATTTCCTTATTTTTCCAAATTTGGGGAAATTCTTGCTGCTGTTATAATATGTATTATTAAGTAAATTACCCCTTTACTATATTTCCCATTTATAATTCCCAATAGGAATAGTTCTGGTTAATATTCTATTTCTTCTCCAGTTAATTCTGCCAGACATAAATGAATTTTCCGCCAATACTCTTTTGCTTTTTTATATCACCACCACATATAGTAGTACGTGCCTGATTCGTGGTTGCATTTCCAACGTTTTGGTGATAAATTTCTAAACATTTTTGCCAATCTTATTCTCCATTATTACTTTGGCTTCTTGCTTAGAATATATCGCCGAAAACATTATCAAATGCTTTTTGGGTGTCTAAAAATAGTGCCACCTGTGTACCACTGTGTATCTCATAATAGTCTAAAACATCTAGTATTATTCTTATATTATTTTTCATTTGCCTTTTTGGTAAGAAACCGTTCTGATCGATATGAATATACTCATTTAGAAACTTTTTTAGACAATCGGCTATTATTGATGTGAATATTTTATAATCTGTATTTAGAAGAGATATAGGCCTATAGTTCTTAATTAGCATCCTATCAGTTCTCCTTTGGTATCAGTGCAATATTTGCCTGCACCCATGATGATGGTATTTTTGCCTCTCCTAACACTACGTTATATACTTCAAGTAAGACTTGGACACAATGTTGTGATGGAACAGGCAAAATAAGTGGTTAAAAGAATTGAAATTTACATTATTTTACATCTTGAAGGATATTTTTTAATAAAATGATGTACCATCAGTAGGTGACTCCAGAAATATTATCTGGAGTGTATAAAGGTACTTCAAATTTATGTTAGAAATGTGGACACAATGAAGGGTCATTTTATCATATTTGATGGATTTGTAAAAAAAAAATCAGAAATTTCTGAATTCAAATATATAGAGTAATGTAACTTTAAAGATGAACCTTCAACTGAAACCATAACTTTTCTTGCTGGAATTAATGGACAATCAGAGCCTTGGAAGCTTATTTTTAATACAGTATATGATTATTGTATAAAATGAGACATGCACAAAATGGAGGCATTTTGAAATAACCACATCTTGTGGTTACATCTTGATGAAGATAGACAAAGCTAGCACAGTGGCAAAATTAATTTGATTAGAAAAAGATCAACAATTACATTAAACCCCTTATAAGATTTTTTTATGACAACAGAGAAAAATGAGCTTAAGATTTGAAGATTAGAAAGGGTAGCTTATGGAAAGGAAATTATAATGCAACCATAGGGAGAGGGAGTAAAATATAAGTGTATTTATAACTGCTGTCAAAAAGATCAAAAGCTGTTTCCCTAACAACTTTTCTTTTTTCTTTCTTATGCTATTCTTCATTATTTCTTTTGTTACTTTTCTAATATTTATAGTTTTAAAAATTCAAAAGAATAATTTTTTTTAAAAAAAAGGAATGCTGTTTCAGTGAGCAGAAAAAGGTTTTATGGGTCCCACTAGTTGACACTATTTAATGGGACCCAGAATATTCTTACTTTGTTAAAATATAAAACAGACAGAAATTACAAGAGTAGGTGATCCCTCAAATAGCCAGGTCTTGTGCTATGAAGTGCTTAGGTCAGTGATAGCTAACCTTTTCTAGACCGAGTCCCCAATTCGTGCACACGTGCCCAAACCCCCAAAATGCAATGTGCCCTGCCCCCACACATGCGCATGCATATGCCCTGCCCCCGCACACACCCTATTCCTGTGCATGCATGCGTGGCTCCCTGCACTCACCCCACACATGCGGACCCTGTGCACGCACCCTGCACCCCCACATATGCACACATGGCCCCCTCACACATGCACCACCACCCACGCATGGACACATGCCCCACGCATGCACCCCACGCATGTGCGGCAGAGACCCGAAGACCAGCTGGGCAGTGGGAGGTGCCCGGCAGAGCTGAACTGGGGCGATGGCTCGTGTGCCCACAGAGAGGTATTAACCAGTATCTTGAACTGTATCTGGAAACATTACTGATAACATGGGATCCAAAAGCTACTCAAAACTATTAGATATAATTGTTCTGGTCTTAGAGATTTAAATTCAATCATGGTAGACAGGTAGCTTCTAACAATCGTATTTATATGCCATGGATTGCCATTTCTTCCTTGTGTCAATTGTTCTATTTAGATCTATTGGAACACAATTCCCCTTTAAAGGAAAACAAAGTAAGAACTGAAGAGTTCTGCCATCTCCTCAGCACCTATTATTATTTTGTCTTCCATTTTCTCCCATCACTGGGTCCACCTTCCTTTTACTACTACAGTAATATAGCCAAAAAAGCTCTTTTTGTTGTTTTCCTGGGAAAGCTAGCTGTCATGACGTATCTGTAGCTGAAAACAGCAGAGCGATTATTGTTTTAAAATATGCTCAATCTTATTGTATGTCCTTTCCAGAGAGAGGAAAAGCAGCTTGAGCTATCCCTGGAGGCTCTTATCAGTCAAGTGGCTGACCTGAAGAATTCCTTGGTCAGTTTCATTTACAAGCTGGAGAATGAATATGACCGTCTCACTTGGTAAGGTTTCATAGCCAGCTGGTACTGGTGGGAGGGGACAGTATTTCATGTAATATTTCAGCTTATTTAGGGAACCTGTCAAAATACATTGAACTCAATTCAAAACTTAATCCTTACTAGTTCCCAGTTTATTTGGAGAATGAAGCAAATTTTCTGATTTTAGGATGTAACTGCCTATTATGTTTTTAGCAAAGCCTTCAGTCCCTTCCTTTTTCATCTTTGTGTGAGTTTCATGAAATTGAGTGGCAATTATTCTGGAATAAATATATAAAGGTTCAGGCTGTAAAACAAATGATTTCTGTAACAAATATTCTTTGTTTTGGAACATTTTTTAAATATAACAATATAAAATCAGTATACTTGCTCAGAATTCACTGGGCTTTGAACAAGAGTCATTTTTAATTTTTTGACCTAACAAGATGGTCAAAGTTAGATTTGTTTGGCTCTACCCAGTATTTGGGTAGAGCCTTTGACAGCCAGTATTAACATTAAGATCTGTCTTTCTATTAAGATCTTTTTGAAAATTCCCTGGCTGTCAAAGGCTCATTTATCTGACACACAGAAGAAGGCATTCTCCTGTGTTGCAACAAGAAAAGCATAAAATGAACTCCCCCAGAAGCAATGTTTGGTACACGTGACTCTTTAAAAAATAGCCAAGACATATTTCTTCACCAAATTATCATTGGCAATAGCAATAGCAATAGCACTTAGATTTATATACCACTTCATAGTGCTTTCACAGCCCTCTCTAAGCAGTTTACAGAATTAGCATATTGCCCCCAACAATCTGGGTCCTCAATGCTTTCATTGGTTTTAATTTGCCTTTGAGTTTCTAAGTTTTGTGTTTTGAATTTAATTGTTGGCTCCCTTGAATGTGTAGAAACCAGAATATATATCGTGTAATTAAATATTCCTTATAGGAAAATCTGTACATGGCATATGTTAGAATTAGAGTGGTCATGCTCAATGAGTTCTATTTCTTTGTTAGAGCATTCTGATCTAAAGATTAATTTAATTCCCTCAAATGTACCCCCAGATGTTCGTTTGATATAATTCACGTATTTCTATTTCCATCCTTCTGCCTTAGGCCCTCTGTGCTAGATAGTTTTGCTCTGCTCTCAGGGCAGCTTAATACTCTGAACAAAGTGCTGAAGCATGAGAAGACTCCACTGTTACGTAATCAGGTTATTATCCCTTTAGTGTTATCGCCAGATCGGGATGAAGAGATAATGGTAAGAATTTGACATACTGTGTACCTTTTTTAGTTCTGGGAGAAAATAAATTATAGGTAGTCCTCGATTTACAACCACAATTGAGTCAAAAAATTTCCCTTGCTAAGCAAGACAGTTGTTGTTGTTGTTGTTGTTTTCCAACCAATGCATTTATTCATGACCAAACATGCCAAGGTAAAAGTAATGTTGGGGTAGCTGTACAAGAGAACTTTAGTTGAACGAGACGGCATCTTGCTTCCTTAAATGTGAAGGCAGAAAGTGTGATAAGTAGAAAAGGGATAATGGGTAAAGATGGGTACCATAAGAGTAGAGAGAAAACTAGTTTTTGACACGAATGGCTAGCTGCTAACATGCAGGTACAGAATTTTCAACCTAATTAAGCAGTTGTTCCCAAGTTTTATTAACACCAAAAATATCAAATGGATATTCTGCTAGAAATATTTTAAGCTCCTTTATTGTTTCATAAACAGTTTGGTCGACACAAATCCATGTACTTTAGAAGAAGCTTCCAAGTATGGAGGGGAAAAAAATCTTTCAGTTTTCAAGGAAGTTGTAGCAATTCAACAGTCTGAACCAATCAAGTCTAAGTATGGCTTGGTTGGCTGTATTTTAATTTTAGAAAGCATCTCTTCAAATTCCTTAACACTTTTCCTATGATCTTAACATACTGTATGTTTACATTTTCTCGTCTCTAGCCGAACAACGTACGAGTTGTCATATTTCATGCTTTTATTTTTATTCATACTGCGGAATAATATTGGTTAAACCTTTGCCTCAGCTACAATAAATTGATAAATCTTGTACCTCATCCACAAGATATGTTTTGTCAGTTATGAATTGGTTGAGATATCAATACTGTCAAAAAGTTTTGGTATGAATAGCTGAGCCTCCCTTCATAAACAGAAACTCCACATATATTGTTGGACTATGTCAAGGCAAAATGTCTTATATTTATTGCAAAACACAGCGGGATTTTGTTGGAAAGGGCAAAGTTACAAGTATTCTTAGTCACAGCAACAAGCATGTTAAGAAAAACAATTGCCCAAATTCATGGAAATGATGAAGATAATATTCTGAGTAAGCTATCATTGGAAAAAGACAAATATGTTTCTGGCTTTTAGGATTCTTCTTCTTCATCATGGTTAGCTTTGGGTCAGAAATGTTTCCTACTTCTTTTCTTGCTACCGTGAAACCCAATGGTTGTTGTCACATTCTCTTCAGGCACCTCTGGAGAACCTGTGTTGGCTCTTCGAGCACCTCGTTCTTCCAATTTCAGTGGCTCCCAATCTTCCTTTTTTTTCTCTTTGCTTTCTGAGGGACCTAGTACAACTACATCACCTTTGTTCTGGGCATCCAAGTTACCCAGAGGCCTTCCACTGGCCTCTTGGTTTGCATTAATAATGTTGGCCTTCAACTTTTCCTCTGTTGAAGCTCCCCTTTTTTTGTCTGATCTGTCTAAGCCTGCCTTTACTGGTTTACTAAAGATAATTCTTCCTGCACCAGAGCTAGAAGCATCCTGGTTGAAAGATGATATATAATTTTCAGGACGTGTTGAGCTTTGTTGCTTTCTACCCTTGTTCAAGCCACTCAAGAACTCCATAGCAATTGATCTGTTGGTATCATCACTACATTCTGCAACATTCTCCAAACTGTACTTGGTCCAGCGTTCTGGATGGGCCACATAATCAGGTACTGGCGGGGAACTTTTATAAGACTGAATTGGCTCACGTTGTTTTCCAAAGCTTTCCGCAGTCATCTTGTTTGAAAGGCTGAGTGGTGGCAGAGGGATTTTAACCTTTTATCAATGACATTGTCTTCACCCGTCAAGGGCACTGCCTGCTTGGCTGCTCCTTCCAGACAATCAAAAATGTTCTGGCTGCGCTGTGAAAAGCTTGAGCTCATGCCTTTCAAATGAAAGGGCTGAACAACTGATTTTATGCTGTTGTGCAAAGAGTCCCCACTCTTATTTGATTCACAATCCACGTCATCTGAAGGAAGCGGCTCCTCAGGGGACACAACATCAACTTCAGCACTGCCTGCAAACTCAAAATCTTCTGAATCTGAATCACTCAGGGAAATTGTATCTGAGGGAAGGATGCCTTCGTAATCTGTGTCCCCACAAAGGGTTCACCTGCATCTTCGTCTCCCATTCTTGATGATCACTTGATTTGGGTATTTCTGCAACCAAATAGCTGTTTCTCAGAGGATGTTTAACACCTCCTGCAAGGGCCCCTAAGCAAGACAATTGTTACGTAAGTTTTGCCTTTTCTTGTCAGAGCTGAATCACTATAGTTGTTAAGTTAGTAACATGGTGGTTAAATGAATCTGGCTTTCCCATGGACTTCGCTTGTAAGAAAGTTGCAGAAAGTGATCACATGATCCCAGACACTGCATCCATCACATAAACACATTCCGGTTGCTAAGCATCAAAATTTTGATAATGTGACTGGGGATGTATGAAGTGTGAAAAATGGTTGTCACTTTTTTCCGTGCACTGTAACTTCAAACAGTCACAAAACAAATGGCTATAAATCGAGGACTATGTGTACTGAACAATGAATCTCTTATCAGTGAAGAAAAAGTTGAGTGAATAATGCAAAGCTTGCAAACTTTCACAAAGACAAATATATAGAAGGAGTAGGAAACCAAGAGAATTTTTCTTCTTCCTACAATCTAAAGTATTTGATTAATAGAAATAGGTGTTATGGATACTACTCTGTATGACAATAGAATAAAAAGACATAAATATGATATTACTCAATAGTAATAGCATGAAAAGTTTATTTTTGATCAGTGACAAGGTAAGTAGCTAAATATAATGCATAAAAGCAGGCTTAAATACCATAAAATTACTATATAATCTGCCAATTAAAATTTACAAGTATAGGAATTAAGCAAAAGAGAACAATATATAATAAAGCAAAAGTGAGTAAATAAGAATAAAATTTAGATAAAAGAATAAAAGGACTTCTTTGTAACATTATTCCAGGATTAGGATATCTAAAGACTTATTTTAGCAATAGCTACCAATAAGAATTTGACAACTCTGTAATAGGAGGTTTGACCACATTTCCCTCCCTGAAAGTTTGATCTCTACTAGAATGTTGTATTGGTATGCCAGCACATAGATGGAACAATTAAGAAATTCATGTCCCAGGTTCATTATGGCGAGAAGAACAATTTCTTTCATTAAATGGAATTTTATGAACCATCCATCCCATTTTGCTAAAGATAGAACATGAAGGCTTTACAGTATCCTGAGCAAACCAGATTGAACGGGTAGTTTGCAACTTTATATTTTGGAACCCACCCTTGTAGATTGCCTATAGCACACAATTCTGTCTAACAAGGAATATCATAATAATGGTAGACTTTAGACAGCAGTTAAAAAAATGCTTTGCAAAGCTTGAAAATAAGCTCTTACAGCCAAAAAGAAAGCATTAAAATTACAGGATTGGATTTTAAACTGGAAGCAATTATCAAATGCTATATAGCTCAAGATTCAGTTGCACAACAAAATTGTATATAGGGAATAGTTACCTTAAAAGAGAGGCCAGCATATGTTTATAGGTGAAGTCAAGCCATTTTGTTATTATATGGAGCAATATAATAGAAAAAGATATATGCATCTTTGTGTGTGTGTGCATACACACATTCATGTGGTGAGTCTGTGAGTCATGTGGTGAGTCTGAGTCTATGCATGGGAAAAAGAGACATTAAATCCAGATCTTTACTAAATTAGCTCAGAATATAAGTTTTCCTGTATCATGTTTAAAAATTGCTTTTATATGTATTGCTTTACCTTTTAAATATCAAATATTTATTACGGTCAAAGACCATTACAATTAAAACTTCTCAAAGAGTATCTAGTTAAAAGTTCTAGAATCAAAGAAATCAAATCTATGTTGAAATCATAACCATATTTGTTAAACAAGTTAAGGATAGAGTACCTGCTTTTGAAGCTGCACCTGGGCTATGCACAGGTGACAGAATTATAAACGTGAATGAGGAAAGTGTCATAGGAAAGACATATACTCAAGTAATTGCTTTAATTCAGAACAGTATTTGAGGGGCTGTCACAAAGAAGAGGGGGTCGGAAATTAGAGTTAAGATTTAAGGAAATGTATGGTATAAAGTTACTTAGCTTATTATTATCATCTAATAAGAAAAGATTAACATATTTGAAAAAAAAACAAAGAAATGAATGATTGTAATGCTATATAATTAATTGATTTTTATTAAGATGTTGGGTTGTATTTGAAATACATATATTTGACAAAGTAATTGAAAATTAGAGTTAAGATTTAAGGAAATGTATTTAAAGTAATTTGGCTGATTATTGCTAAAGAAATGGATGATTATAATGCTACATAATTAATTGATTTCTATTAAGATGTTGGATTGTATTATTTTGAACAGTTGACAATGAAACATATTTGTGATCATAATAAGGGAATACAAGGAAATATTAGGAATTATATTATGTTGTGAAATTTTAAATTTAAGGGGTTTAATTTAGAGATGAAAAGGGAAAAATTGAATTTTATGAAGATCAGAAGTTAGAAGAAGGGTAATATTGGTCTACAAAAATTATAATAAATACTATGGCAAAAAGGGAATATATAAATTGTGTTGGAAATGACTAAAAATTGTTTAAATTTGTGAACCAGCCAATACTCTGTTCAGAAAAAATACATTGTATGTTTGTTTGTGTGTTTGTGTAAAACATAAAAAAAAAAACTTTAAAAAAGAAGAAGAAGAAGGAGTCGACTTATTTTCCAAAGCTTATTTCCAAAATGAACAAGGAGCTGATCAGAGAATGCTCATTCATTCCCTATATTTCGGTCAATATTATTTTCAGGATGAATCAAAACTCATCATACAGTAGTACAATGTACACTGATGTATACTGTATATGGCAGTTTGATATTATAGTTCAGGTTACAAGCTGTTCATAATGGCTGACTTGCAGATGGTGAAGACGCTAACTCATTGAAATTTATTTTAATTGCTTAATTTTATTATATTAAGAAAGAGAAAAATTAAAAACTTGCAGAGGTACAAGTTTTTGTACCTCTGCAAGTTTTGATACATTTCCAATATTCTGAGGCCTATGAGTTTAGCTTTGTATTGTTTGATTTTGTTGCAAGATATGAGTCCTAATAGACTGAATATTGCAGCGGCAGACAGAAGGACGAGTACCAGTGTTCAGCCATGAAGTTGTACCTGATCATCTGCGAACTAAGCCTGATCCTGAGGTAGAGGAGCAAGAGAAGCAGCTAAGCACCGATGCAGCTCGTATTGGCACTGATGTGGCACAGGTAGGACAATGACTGATTAACATGGACTGGGAGATAGTCACTGGTCTCAAATCCTACTATACCACATTTCCTTGCAGCAAAGGTTGCTTGAAATCATCAGCAGTACGCCTCTCTGTATGTCAGTAATTATCTGTTTTGTGGATGGATATGTATGTCTGTATATGCTAATTGCTCATTTATATAGGTTCATATACACTCTTAATAGGCATAATTTTTCCCACTCTCAGGTCTCATTGGTACCAATGAGTTCTCAGATCCAAAATGATGCCTACCTCTGATTTTGTCAAGGCAGTGTGGGGTTTCAAACTGTCTCCAGTTTCCAGAATATCTGGCTATAGGCTTTAATGAGTTTCTTCTGCATGAAGTCAGGCAACCTGAAGCACTTGTAAATTCTGACATTATATGATTTTTATGATTGCAGAAACAGATTCAAAGCCTAAACAAAATGTGTTCGAACTTGCTAGAGAAAATCAACAAAGAAGATCGAGAATCTGAAAGTGGAGGTATGATTCTAGATAAGGAGGGAGGACCAAATGAGCTTTAGTGGGGACAACACTATTGAGAGACAGAAATCCCAGAAGCAGAGATTAAAGTATGGTAAGAAATAAAACCTACACCTTTGGAAAATTTGGAGTATGAATGCTTTTCTACCCTATAGGTTTACGCCAGAACAAGCAGACATTCAACCCTGCTGATACCAATGCCCTAGTTGCAGCTGTAGCCTTTGGAAAAGGATTGTCCAACAGACGTCCACCAGGAGTGGGAAGTTCTGTTCCAACCAGTCAGCAAGCTGCCAATGCCATCATAGCTGGTGCTTCTACCATGCAACAAGTACAAATGTCAGGTGCACCAAATCAGCCACAGCCTATGCTTGGAGGAGTGCAGATGCCACAAGCAGGGCAACCAGGTAAAAAGAATCACAGAGACAAATATATAGTCGTACTGTTAGGACAATAGGAAGTGTCCCACGAAAATTAAATTTTGTATAAACAGACAGGCTTTAAAAAAGGACAGCTATTTGGGACAAGATATGCGATACCCATTTCTTCCACATCATTTTAGGAAGGGATATAGCAGCGTATGATTTATATTAACTTTAGCCAAGTGTCTGTGATCCTGGAGATGAGATAGAATTGTATTAAATATAGGAATGTCCATTATACTGAGAATAAGTGGCTAGTGATCAAAATCAGGGAAAGGCTACTCTCATTATGTCCAGCTGGATGCCTTTATTTACCATAGGAAAATAGGATAGTGGGGAAGTTAAGTCTTTTTTCTTATTCATCAGATTTCTTATTTAGTGCATAAAATGCCTGAGAAACTTGCACAAAGTGATGTTAGAGTTTGAGTGAGTGATTAAATGTACTTCCCTCAAAAATATGTACAAGAAAGAACTAGAGATAGTAGTAAACATATTGCCTCCTAAATTGGTCAGATTCTTATTACATTACTAAACCCAGCTTTTTTCATCTCTCCAGGTAAGATGCCCAGTGGTATAAAAACCAATATCAAATCTGCTTCGATGCATCCCTATCAAAGATGAGTGGGAAATATTCTGGTCTATTGCTGGTCCTGGATTTCATTTCCAAGTCAACACTTCTTCAAGTTGTTCTCAGCAATTAAACTTGGAATCTTCCCTGAAGATCACTTGGATCATTTATTAATACAACTGCATTGATCCAGGATACAAGAATATAGACATGTATTTTTCATTCCAAATGATAGAGGCAATTTTGAGACAAGAGACTGGTTCAGATAGCTAAGTGAAGATGGTAAACAACTTTACTTTTTGTTTACTAATGTAAGCAGCCTGATTCCTTGAGTCGATGCACCTGTTTTGGAAC